AATAGGCACAACGGTATAATATACTTATCACTGGAGGCCCTAGTGGTTACGTGTTGGGCTGCTAACCACAGGTCAAAGATGAGGCTTTGTGCCTCGGTAAGAGTCAGTGTCGGAAACCCACAAGGGCAGTCTACTCTGTCCTGCAGGGTCGCCGGGCGTAGGAATTGACTGGATGGCAGTGAGTTTGGGCTTTTTTGGGTGCCCTTCCGTCATTCCCCCACCCCCATGTCTTATTTTGACATAAATCCCAGACATCATCTCACTTCGTCCACAGATATTTTAGAATAGATCTCTAAAAACCTTTTTAAAAAGCAGTAACATCCTTCACAAAGGAAATACAATGACATCAAGCTTACTGTGAGTCATACAGATTGGAGTAGATCTGCCCCTTTGGGTTTCCGAGAATGTGACGCTGCGTGGGAGCAGACAGAGGGGCTGCTGGGCTCGGCTGCCGCCCTTGCAGCTAGCAGCTCACCAGGAACCCACTGCGCCACCAGAGCCCCAACGCCATCGTGACCACAGCTACAAAATCTAACAGCACGTGAGATGCGAACAACTCCTTGTAGCATGGGAAGACAGAACTCAAAACAAGCACATGGCAGCGGCTCACCCACAGAGGCGATGGTAAGGGAGTTGCAACCACGCAAAACAGACTCACAGCCTGAACCACCCACCACAGCGCCACTTCTCCATCTTACAGGCCCAGCCAGGAAGAGCACAGACTAAGCAGCCATCCTCACGGGCAACGCAGAGCTCTCTGGTGGGAGGGAAGCCCTGGTGGAAGAGCTCGTGGCCCGTGTGCTCCTGGATACTGATTGCATCTTTGCAAAGACTGAGGAAGACAACTCTGTCCTTGGGGCCAAGATGTCCAGATGAGTAGGTCTCCACATAGCTGAGCTGCGGGGCAGAGAGAGGTGTGACCCGACCTCTACCCCCTCCTGGCATCCGGAAACCTAGGGACCAGCGTCGGGCTAATAGGCCTCTTGTGGGGCTACTTCTGTGCCCTTGATCCTGGCACGGCTGCATCCTGAGTGGCTAACACATGGGAGATGCTCCATAGATGTAAAACAGAGAGACAGAACTAGAGATGCCAGTTATTTGTGGAGACCAAGTGCTGGAAGGATGGGGACAAATACAATGTCGGTGGAACTCGAATATCCAATAAAGCTGCTTTTTGCTTCTAAGTGCGGACCCTGTCCAGCAAGTGCACAAGGAGACATGCAGAAGCACGTGCGTGCATAGCAGCACTGCTTTGTGCAGTCCAACAAGTCAGGATAAGACAGCTCTTTACCCACTGGCGTCACATGATTCCATTGTGCCATATCGGTATGACAGAATACTACACAGCAGTTAAGATAAATGGGCTTGGTCTACACTGAACAAAAATTACAAAACAACAGGGAATGCAGACAGCATCAGCAGAGTAACAGAGCGTATGATATCAGTTATTTTTAAACGTGCTCATGCGTATGCACACACAAATCTCATATACCATGTTATTTATGAATAGTAAAGTATGAGAACATGAACTGGTCAGAAACGTGCCCACCTGTGGAGAGGAAGGGAGGGAGAGAAGCAGGGTCAATGTGGGGCTCAAGGTAGTGATGGGTCAGCTGAGGAGAGGGCGGGCCATTTTCTCTTCTCCTGCCTTCCCACCTGCTATCATGTGTTTGGTGCTGAGGGGAGGGAATCCTGATACTTGTTGGCCTGTTATCTTATACCACGTGGTTTATAAATGTGCATTATTTCATATCTGGCACATGAAGCAGCGACTACTATTGGTGCCATTTTAAGATGAGGCTTAGGAAAGGGTAAGTCACTTGCCCAAGGTGTCAATGGCTGGTGAGTCGCAGGGTCAGGGCTGGTACTAGATCCCCCCCCCTTTGCCACATGTGCCCTGATGAGCTCCCCTGAAACAGAAAGGGAATATACATAGGTCAAGATTTCCCAAAGAAGAGGTATTCGGGGGGGAAATGGATAATTTTGTCATTTTTACCAAAAATACTTCAGGTCTGACTTAAATTGCATTTAAAGTTTCTGTCAAAACACACCTTCAAATAAAAACATTGTCTCTAATTTAGCCAAACTCCTAGTACACAGGGGTCTGGACCAGTCTTTCACTATCATGAATGATGCCGGGGTGAAGAATATCCTTTATACATAAGTCACTGATGGTGTCATGAATGACACAAAGTGAAATTACAATTTTCTATATTTGGAATACTTCAGTTACTAGTAGTGAAGTTAGAGGATCAAAGGGTAGAAGTAACAGATAAATGCCATTGAGGCTTGGAAACATACTGAACATTGATGGCTAAAAGGCCCACCATAGAATACAGGCCTGGCACAGAGTAGAGGTATGTAGAAAGAATCTACAAGCCTACAAACCAGGGTATGCACTACGACCAGTGGTTCTCAACCTTCCTCATGCCACGGCCCTTTCATACACTTCCTCATGTGGTGGTGACCCCCCAATCATAACATTATTTTCATTGCTACTTCATCACTGTCATTTTGCTACTGTTATGAATCGGGCGACCCCTGTGAAAGGGTTGTTCAACCCCCAAAGGAGTCATGACCCACAAGTTGAGAACTGTTGTACTTAGACGTCTGCAAAGGGGAGAAATTACACACACACACACACACACACACACACACACACACACAAACACACAGATCAAACCTAATCTGTTGGTTTTTTTCCTCTTTGTAAATTTTTCTCTTTGTAAATTCCCAAAGAAGACAAATCAAAATGCAATTATAATCTGGAGAACTTTAAAAGTTAATTGACAAATATCAAAAGATACTTCTTAGAAAGAAAGGATTAGAAAGAGGGCTGGCTTAGCCTAAGCTTTGTTGTTAAAGAGATGCCTGTATGTAGAAAGATTTGTTCAAACACACCCAACAGCTTTGTGGTTTATAGAAGAAGCTACCCACTTAAGTTTGAAAGCATCTTTCTTTTCCTTTGAAGGCCTTGTGCTTCTCAATTCACATAGCTCAGAGGGCACAGAAAATCAAAATCAGTGAAACAGACAGCAGAAATGTTTCTCGGCCTTTTGGCTAAGATCAAAGGTAAAAAATAAGACAGAACCATAATGAATATTTTAAAACAGCCATCCATGTAAATAAAACAGAATGTGGCTTAGAAATGCATGCCCTTAAAAAAAAAAAAAGAGGACAAACAGGATCAGTGACTATTCAAAGATGACAGATTGAATGTGTACAGTATATTTTACTAAGTCCCCTAACTTGACAAAATGACAGCAAGAGGATTTTTAAAAGCTATCAGCCAACAAGGACATAAACTGGCATTCAAATTCTGGAAGCGGGATACTAAATAGATGAGTGAGATAGACTTGGTGCATCTAAACCAAACCCACTGCCGTGTGCTGATACTGTGTCATGGGGCACGTACAGGACAGGCTAGAACCGGCTCGGATGGTGGCCACAAACCTTTACGGACGCAGACTGCCACATCTCTCTCCCTCAGAGTGGCTGGTGGGCTTGAACTGTCGACCTGTTGGTTATCAGCTGAGTACTTAACTACTGTGCAACCAAGGCTCCTTATCAGTTCACTCAGGAAAACCAAATTCTAAGCCAGATGATAAGTAAACCAAGAAGTAGCCAGGTTTACCCAGTAATGATCCCCAAAGGTTCATGGGTTAGTGTGACCTGAAAGTTTTTGAAAGTGGAGGTGAAGGCAGAAAGAAAGGCTGAGCTGTAATAAAAGATTCCCCCCCGCTTCTCGCCCGCCTCCGAGATGGTAAATAGAGGGTCCCTGTAATACTAGATGCCAAGAACATTTGAGGACAGTGGTAATGTGCTAACAAAACAAAACAAAGCAAAAACAACCAATCACCAGAAATAAGCAAAGCCCCCTTCTTCTTCAGAAAAAAAGTGAAGAGGAAACAGACATCATGAAGAGATATGCCTGAAAACTACCATCTACACAGGAATAAGAAGAAGAACAGGCTAATATGAAATTTTGTTTAAAAAAAAAAAGGAACATTTTGAAAACAGAGAGAGAAAGGGAGTGAGCTCCTGGAAATGAAGAATATAACAGCAGAAATGACATACTCATTATAAGGGCTGTACATAAAGCTGAGAAAATTTCACAGAAAGCAGACCAAAACCAAAGGACTATTCTAAGAATGTCCAAATAAACCAAATTCCAGAAAAGAACAGAAATAGAAGAGAGGATATCACAGAAGTCATGTAAGACAATTTCTCAGAATTGAGAAATAAGAGTTTCTAAGCTGAAAGGGCTTTGGAAATGCAGTATACTAGATGCAAACAGACCCTCTACAAAGCATGACCTGAGAAACTTCAGGACCGTGGGGAAAACAGAGGACCCACACCACATCCTGAAAGAGACCACACACAGGGATGAAGAATCAGAAAGGTTCTGGACTTGGAAGGGAATCCCCTAGGAAAGTGATTTCTTGTCCATATCCAGCACAAGTATCAACTCGAAGCGTGGGTAGGCAGAGATATTTTTTTGCAGATGCAAGAAATATTAGGGTAATTCACAGAAGAACGGGAAGAGACAACTGGGAAAGAACTTACCGTAACAGGACAGATTTGTAGGTTAGTAAGAAAAGGAGCGAACATAGCAGACGGATATTGACAGAGTTGATACAAAGGTTCTAAATTCAATACTATAGGTTCTGGGGGGAGGGAATGCCAACACGGGGGTTGGGGGTGGTGCGCTACCAAAAGCAACATCTATTGATTTTCCAACGTTGAAGAGGCCTAAACAAGCCTGTGCTATTCATCCCAGCTTGGAAGAATTTAATGAAGACGCGTTGAAGTAGACTATTTAATATGGCTTTTCTAGCCACAGCCTTTGCTACTCCCACCAAATGACCTGTGCTTCCCTGATGGGTCTGGGCAAGAAGGTGGGGAAAGATGCCGACTGGGCTATGATTCGTCTTAACCAGGTAGGCTGAAGCCCTTGGAGCCAGCAGGCAGATTGGGCAGGGGCTCTCTCAAGTTCTTACCAGCTGTAAAAATACCCTTGGTGCTTTGTTTCACACTGGAGGCTCTCACGATTGCTGAAAGGCCTGTGAGCAGAAAACAAAGAGGTCACTCAGAACCAGACATTAGTCACGCTCAGCGTTAAACCCAGGAAAGGGGGCAAGCCTGTCGACCCTGGTGTCAGTGACAGAGACGAGGATACCAGGACTGAGAGTCAGGCGACTGGCCGTGCAAAGCCCTGACCAAGGGAACATCCTAGACTCCCTCCCCTGGAACCCAGAGGTGAGGGTAAGCTCCCACTTAGTGCCTTTAGGACTGCTTATGGCTGCTGGTTCTCAACCAGTGTTTCCCAAAGGGGTAATACTGATCCTGGAAGTGTCTTGTGGTCTGGGTGGGGTGGGGGTGTCATGGGGCTACAGGTACCTACACGTTATCCTGGATTATGGGCCACAGTACAAAAGTTCTTTATTGCCAGAGGGGCACTGTGCAATTTTTTTTTTTTTAAGGGGGCGGTAGGTCAAAAATGTTTGGCACCCTATGGTGTAACGGGGGTGGGGGTGGTACACACACACCCTACACACCCAGAAAACCATGTTTCTGTCTCAGAGCAACTTTCCTTCTTCCAACAGACCCGCGGGCCTCCTCGATGAGAAGCGGCATGTATGTCACTGATGGCTCCGCAAGGAGGCAGACATCACACTTCCCACTACAACCAACAATGGCGTCACACATACTTAGCTTCAGAATAGGTATCTGGCTGTCTAAATACTTGGGGAGCTAGTTCCTGCGACAGAGGGGATGCCTGCAGAATAGGTATCTGGCTGTCTAAATATTTGGGGAGCTAGTTCCTGAGACAGAGGGGATGCCTGCATATGGCAGCCACTGTCCAGCTGTGGTTTCCTCTCAGGGTCACTGTGGCACCTGCATCGAGCCCCGGCCCTTCTGGCCTAGCGGAGCTCAGTGAGTGTTTACTGCAGGAAAGTGGAAGAACGTGGTTCTCTGAGGGAGCACCTCATCTCCCTCTTCAAAGTGACCTCTTCACTGACTGACCTCATAAATCATTCCTAACAGGACCTGGGGGAGCAGGGCTCTGCCAAGAAGATTCCAATTTTAAAAATAAACATCAGGGAGGCCTTGGGGATAAGGGTGTAGGCCTGGAACTGCTAGCAGACACCTGCAGAAAGCTGGGTTCTCCAAGTTATACACATATTAAAAGTCTCCTTCCCTCTTAGACCACCAAGGCAAACAGAGGCATGTCTTTTAAGTAACTTTTTTTTGGCTTATGCTTAGGACCAAAAGGACAGCACTCTCTCCCGTCCTCCTTCAGACAAGTGACATGGAGACAACTCTGGATTGCTGGTGCCTTCCACTTCAAGGAAACCTCTTGATCCCAAGAGGCCAGAAAGCATAAACATGAGTCTCCATCCCAAGGTTTGCCATTGCCAGGGCCACAGGTTCACACACTTACCTAGTCGCACCACCGCTGAACAGTCGGGATCATTAGCGACTTTGAATAAGGTTTCTTCTACATCTCTGTTTCTCCCAGGAGGGTCCATAATGTGATTTATTTGTTGCTGTAAGGTTTTGGGTAATGCCATTAGCTGAGCAAACTGTCCTTCTGGGCTTTTATCTAGCTGGAGGGGGAGACAAAAAGATCATGTCTGCGTGCACTGAATGTCATAAATATTTCAAGACACAATGGCTTCTCTTGAAAATCACATCAACACCACAGATGCCCCACAACCTTGTACTGTGCGGCCTGGTAAGGAGATGCTTTCTTCCGCTCTCCTTTCGAAACACAGTGCTTCAGAATAAGGGCTTGGGTTTTCAATCCTTTCAGAAAGACGATTCTTTTTCTGTGATATCCACTTTCTACCCAAAGAAGAGAAAAGGCTCTTTCAAGGTTGAACTTCTGACATTTAACATCTCCATTTTGTCTTACATGCAGCGGGGCTGCAGCTAACAGGCACCAAGGCCTCCTGGCTCACATGATCCCTCCCACTTGATGGAAAGCCTTAAGCTGCCCAGGGCCATCGCCAGTGTGAGAGAGTGGCATTTGACTTTGTGTGTCCTGCCCTCAGGCGCGTTTAAATACTGGAGTCAGAATAAACTGATGCCAGTCTTAACCTCACTCAGTTCTTAGTCGCGGGGACATAGGAGGGTCTAGTCAAATACAAGAGTGAATAACTGAACTGACAAAACGTAGTTGCCATTGTTCATTACAGGGGAGTGAGCTGCACCAGTGGTTTCTGTTCTCAGAGTACTCTAAAATACCAACGTAAAAGATAAGTTCAGAAATGAAACAAATATAAAAATATCCAAGTAAACTTGGAAATATATGAATCAAAAATTAGCTGCAGAGCAGAGGCCAGTGTCTAATTTTATTACATGGAATTACATTTCTGCACAGAAAAAAAATTCTGCACATATTGACTGAATGTTGAACTGGGAAGCAGTTGTAAACCAGCTGCCCTCACCATTGAGGTATTTTCCAAAGTAAGATGTTTCCTTATATTTTCCTTTTTCCCCCTATACTTTCTTAACAAATGTTTAAGCTTTCATTTCAACTAAGAGAATAGCAAGGAAAAAAATAAACAAATGAACATCTTTACATTTTTGATTCAGATTTTCCAAAGATGACTAACTTTCTTATTAGAATTCATGTATTCTATCACTGTTTTTAGTTAATAAATTTTATTATTTTATTTTTATTAATTCCAACATCTACATTTCTAGTTTTGTCTTTAAAAATCTCTGGACTCACTCTCTCACTCACTCACTCAAAAGAAAAAAAAAAATCTCTGTAAAGAACAGGAATTCGAGGCACCAACTGAGTACATGGAAGAAGTACACCAGCCTGTGTGATCCAAGGATTTTAAATAATATGATCTAAATTCAAAAGAGGGAGTGGTATTAAATCCTAAATTGTAAACACCTGGTTTTCAGAAGGTATGGACAGCAGTGGAAGCCCAAAATCCATTTGCAGGGTCCACACATAGATTAAACCTGGTGAATCCCCTTTGACCATAGTCGAGGGATGTGAATAACTTTGATAACTTTGTTATCTGACAGAGCATTAAAATTCAATTATGAAAAAAAAAGTCAATTATGGCAGGTATGGTTAGGTTGAAATATTAGTAAATAGTATCTTGTCATTTGATCGCCCTTCTAACCCATTTCAAAGTTGCTTCAGTTTAAAAAAAGTGAAGGTGAAATATAAATATGTGGACCATGCCTCCAGGGACTGGCCTGTGACCACAGGTCTGCGTGTGAGTAGCCTTGCTATCATGCAGAGTGCACTGGAAAGCAGGTTACAGCCAAAGCCGTTAGGTTAAAATGTAAAACCTCATCATTTGATCTCCTTTTTGACCCATTTTAAATTCTAGTTTTGTTTTTCTCTGATTTACTTTGTTGTTAGTTGTTTCCTTTTGTATGTTTTTCTGTATATGAAACCGAAGACAGGTAAATCTATAGAGACAGTCACTAGATTGTTTCTTGGGGGCGCGGGGGTGGCAGGGGAGGTTGGGAGAAATGGGGAGATAATAACAGTACAAGAAAGAAGAAAATGCTCTAAAATTGATTGTAGTAATGATTGTACGTCACTTTAATATGATTGAACTATTGAATTGTTTGATATGTGAATTATGTGCTAACAAAACTGTTTTAAAAAAATTAGGAATCATTTATTTAGTGATTCTGAGGTTAGAGGGCTGTTCCCTACCAGGGTGTTGAATGCTTGTCATTTGGATGGTTCTAAACCCAGAAACTCCATCCTCTACTTAACTTCTGATTATATAATTTGTGGGAAGCAGAAGGATTTCTCCCAAGTTGTCTCTCCCAAAAATATGCCAAACTTAGCTGCTTGCGAATGACATACACTTGGAGGTCAGCAGAAGATCAGGGGTTAATTCTCTCTAAGGGTTATCAGCCATCTAGAGCAAGCAGTCACCACTGTTTATCCCACAAGTAGGGCCCACTCCCTTCTGATAAGGATAGTAGTTGTCTGTTTCCTTGTAGGCGACCCCAGAGAAGTCAAGCCCACCCAAAGGTGACCAAGGTTAGGCCGCCATCATGAGTCTAGGGTCCACCCTTCTTGTCACATGTATACCTCTAGTTCCTCCCCTTCCTATCAGGTGTACACCCCTAGGTCATCCCCTTCCTGTCACGCTTATGCCTATTGTACTGCCCCTTCCTGTGACATGTGGTTACCTATAATCATGCCTCCCCTAAGTAGAGAAAACCCTTGGTTAGCAATAAACAGGGTCCTTGAGCATCCTGCCAGGTCCCTGCCAACCTCGCCTTGGCCCACGCTGTGCGTGGACCTGGCTGGTAAGATCATGGCCGCCCAGGAGGTGAACATGCTACCATGAAATGTGTCTGACTCTATTATTTCAACCTCTCTTCTGTCTCTCATGCTCTCTATAACTTTACTATAATCTTTACTTATTATCACTGTACAATTGCACCTACAGACCCATGATGATGTGCTAGGGCCAGGCTTCCCCTTGCAATAATTGATAAAAATAATTATAGGTTCTTCTGTAACGTATCTTAGAGATGACATTTTTGAACTCATGTTCTGGGGCCATCTATTAAGATTTGCCAGGAGACCTGCTGGCACAGTTATTAAGTCTAATAACCAGAAGGCTGAAACTTGAACTCAGCCAGTCTACAGAATGTCCTATTCCATAAAACGTACAGCCTTGGGAACCCTGGGGGTAGTTCTACTCTTGTCCTACAGGGTTGTTAGAAGTTGGAATTGATTTGATAGCACTGTTTGTTTTTTTTGGTTGTTTTTTTAATTAAAAGATCATTTTATTGGGGGCTCTTATAACAATGCATCCATCAACTGTATCAAGCATATTTGGGTTTGTTTTTTGAATTGAGATTAGCCAAAAAGAAGCTCATATTTCAGTCCTGCTTTACTGATAAAGCTTCTAGCAATTTTCAAACTAAAACCAAACTCACTGCAATCAAGTTGACTCTCAACTCATAGCAACCCTACAAGACAGAACTATTCTTTGGGGTTTCCAAGATTTTAAATCTTTACAGGGGTGGACAGTCTCATCTTTCTCCCTTAGAGTAAGGGTGGATTCAAACCACGGACCTTGTGGTTGACAGCTCAATGAGTAACCCACTAAGCCACCAGAATTCTTCCTAGGAATTTTAGATGCTCAGAGGCCTTGACTAATATGAGCAATTAGTAAATAGTATCTGCTTCTGTTTTCTTTTAAATAAAAGAATGTTCTGCAATTTCAACTTCAAAGTATGTGCTTGAAGACAAAATATTTGGTGACATGTCCAAATTTAATACTAAATTCTTATTTTCCTGATTTTCTAATGCTCATTAAAGCATGAAGATGACACCACCCAGTTAAACCATGAGAATCAAGTTACATTTGAAAACAGATATGGAAAGTTACATATGATATACTTCCATTTACATGAACTGTCCAGAATAGGCACATCCAGAGAGAGCGAGAGAGAGAGAGAGAAACAGAGGCTAGCGGTTGCCAGGGGCTTGAGGGAAGAAAGAGATGGGGAATGACTAGCAATGGGTGCACAACTTCTTGTAGGGGTAGGAAATGTTCTAAAATTATGTTGTGATATTTGTTCAGCTCTGTGAATATGCTAAAATCCACTGATTGTAACTTTAAAAGAGTCAATTTTAAGGTGATTCATAGTTCATAAAGCTGATAAAAATGCAAACATGGTCATGATAATGGATGCTGAGGTACACCACCCAGATCCTGCCTTTAAGACCAAGGTACTCATCATGGGCTGCAGGGGAAGTTGACCACGTCCCTTCCAGAACTGTCCTTAGCTAAAGAGAACTGCCTGTTTCCAGAGACTGGGCTCTGGGGAGTATAAGAGATATTGGCCTCTTTGTCCCAAGTAGGGGGCAACCTGAAGTGCCTTCTGGCTCCAGAGTGCCATCACAGGGTCAGATGAAGCCTTTGTTTTCAATCTGTCTAGCCAGATCTTAAACCGGTGCCAACTGGTGTAATGGTTACCCGGTGGGTGCAATCTGCATGGTTGGCAGTTCAAAACCACCAGTAGCTCCTCGGGAGGCAGATGGTGCTTTCTACTTCTATAAACAGTTCTAGTCTCGCAAACCCACAGGGGTTGCTATGAGCCAGCACAGACTTAATGGCAGGGAGAGGGCCTAGAAAGCCAACACTAAAATGAGATTAAGGACCTGTCACAGCGTGGAAGGGCTCTGAAGGTGCCACTCTTGCTCTCCGGCCAAGACTAAAGAAAAGAGCATTCGAGTCTAGGAGGAAAGGCAGCGATCAGTGCAACCAAAAGACCTAGAGAATGTAGGGGAGATGGTTTCATATTTCCAGTAAACTTACCAACCTGGCCCTTAGAAACACCAAATGAATCCTGGAAGATTAGAGTGGAGTGATAGCCCCAACTGTATCTCGTGCCAGATGTGGTGAATGTGTTAGAGCGAGTATATGATGGAGCCTCAGACCAGGTGAATGCATCCTTTCACGTTCATGGGGGCCAAGTAACAGTCTATCTTATGGTCTTACCACAGGGCTATGCTAACCCTAGCTTCAAGAGAAACTGGACTATTTGGGCATTCCGTATAGTATCACATTGGTCCATTGTATCAATCACATTGTTATTGTCATCTGGTGGACAACAAGGCCAAGTAAACTGGAGGCCTTGGAAAGACACATGGACTCTTGGAAGGTAGGAGATGAATCCTATGAAGTTTTACCACATCAGTGAAGTTTCTAGGGGCAGAGTAGCCTGGAACCTGCTGGGACAGCCCTCCAAAGCAAGGGCAAAATGACTGTATCTCACACCTCTCACCACTGAAAAAGATGCAGAAAGCCTGGTTGTTCTCCTCAGGTCAGAAGGCAGCATTTTCTACAATGAGCAATAATGCTCACACTCATTTACCAAGTGTACAAAAGGATTCGGTTTTGCAAAGGGCATGTCACAGAGCAGGGAAGCACTCTGCAACAGAGGCAGGCACTGTGTGGGCAGCCTTGCACATGGACCACTGGATCTTGCAGAGTCCATGGGACTAGAGGACTATGCGTAGGAAGCCATCCCAGTGGAACTTAGGGTGGGTTCTGGAGCAAGGCCATGACGTGCAGTGTTGTGGAAATCATCTGCCGAGTGAGTGTTGGGCCCTGGTGGAGGGAGAGATGTTGCTGATGGGACCACAAATGGCCATGCAGTACAACTCCCATCATGCACTGGGATCTATCAGAGGCTGGGCAGGCTGGATAGCAATTCACTGTTTGATAGAAGCACACCAGGATTGGACATGGGCAAGACCAGAGGGCATACAGGAGCTGCATAAGCAGGAAGTCTAGACCCCACAATCTCCACCCTGCTGCCCTGGCAGCTCTCTGCCAGTTCATGCTGATGGCTACAAAGAGGATCCTTTGTGCCTGGCCTGGAGGCTGTTGGGATTGAATTGTGTCCTTCAAAAATACGTAATCCTTCCACCTGGGCAGTTACAGTAATGTAGAAGTGATCCGTATTCTGAGTAGGGTTTGCCTTTCTTAGCCAGCACCACTGTACAAGGGCTTAGAGCAGGGCTGGCTCACTGAACTGTGCGCCGCACACATCATATATGGGGCCCACTTCACAGCAGAGAGATGTAGCAAGAGTCATGGGACCATGGCACCACCGTTCCAAACTGCTGGCTTAGAGAGCAGTGATTCTCAAAAGGGACAATTTTTGCCCCCGTGGGCCATTTGGTAATGCCTGGCGACATTCTGGAACGGGGAGATTGCTATTGGATATCTAATGGGTGGGGGGCAGTATATGTGCAGAAGCCAGCCCTCCCACAGCAAAGGAGGATCTGGTCTCAAGTGGCGATATGGCTGTTGAGAACTTTTGCGACAGAGCATTGGAGCAATGGCTGAGGCCCCTGCTTGCATTCGTGAGGATGGGCTATCACCCTCACGGAGAGGGGCTATGTCCTATGTTAATGACATTCTACGGCACTGTGTTCCCAAAGGGGAGAATATAAGGCGTAGGAGGGAAAGCAGCCTTGCTTACTGACACGTCCAGGACTTGCTTGGAAGATTTCCTAGGCCTGCAACTTTAGGTTCTAGTTTCCAGAGGAGGAATGTTTCACCAGGGGACGCAGTAGGCATTTCATTAGGGTTTAAGCGATGCCTGCCATTCAGTCACTTTAGAAACCCATGCCAGAGACCATCGGACAAGAAAAGGAGTCAACCTACTGGCAAGAGTGATTGACCCTGCTCATAAGGATGTAGGACTGCTGCACACCGTTTTTAGCAGTACACCCCTCACCCCATTCTGCAGGGTAAGAGGCACAGGCAGTAGCCACAGCACCACATGAGCATGGTGACCAGGATCTGAGATGCCTTAGAGATGAGGTTCAGGCCACCTCACCTAGACCAGCAGAAGTGCTGGCTAAAATGAGGGGGATCTAGAATGGGTGGTAGAGGAGGGAGGTGATGGGTCCCAGTTACAGCCTCAAGAGCAGCTGCAAGGCTGGGGATTGAAGTTCAGTCTATTGATCTTCTTGTTGTGAGTTTTGCCGAGAAAAGAAACCAATTAGAAACCAAGTAGGTTTCTATAAGCTCAGGTGAGCTATGTGGGTACACTGTTTTTCCTGGTTCAATGAACTTCCCAGCCTTTGCCCTTACTCAGCTTCTCGGGAGTTGGCAGCGAGGTCTACTCTTCCTTCCTGCCCTCTAGCCCGGAGGAGTTGTCTGTCTGGAGAAATACTGACATAGAGATAGATGCTGGCATGTGGGGTCTCCCAATAAAACAGCCCATGCTGGAAAGAAGATCACCTGAGGGTCTGTTTTCACCCATTTTTGATGGGCTCCCTCCAGTTCCCTTCCTCAAAGGCAGTGCTTAGCTTCTTGCATTGCCATTTAGCATGTTATAGAGGAGCACAGACTTACAGACAATCCTACTTTTTGCACAGACAAGGATAAGTCAAAAAGTATCATTACAAAATCACAGAAACCTTTATTAAACAAAAAGATCATGATGTGACGCTACTGTGTCTCAACACAGCCTTCTCTGAGGTGGACTCACTTCTGAAGGCAGGGGTTCCCTCTCTCTAACCTTTCCCCAAAGCATCCGATGCTCTTCCACAAACAGTTCACAGACACCGCAGGTGCATCCCTGAGAGACTCACATCATGGTTCTTCATGTGTTGGGAACAAAAAGAACCTGTAGGGGCAAGCCCAGGGCTGTAGGGTAGACGGGGTAAGTAGCGCAGCCCTTGACTAGCTTTGAAGACTGAGCAGATGTATTGTGACAGAAAAAGATTCCTGGCCTTTCTTTCACGTATGCGGTTTTCTTGAAACAGTTCCCTCACAAGCCCCCATGATTGCCCTGTGTCCTCTGAGAAAAATCTACGAAGGTTACTCTTGAAGAATCCCCCAAACCGCTGCCATCATCTGCTGAGCTGACCTCTGCCTTGAACCGCACTGGCCCATCAGGTCCCCTCAGCAGCCACTGTCTGCATGAACTAATGAGAGCAGACAAGTAGATTACTGAGAGAACGTGTCTGCAGCCCTCAACTGATGACAGAGACATGTTTAAACATGTTTAGTTTCTAATACATCGGTGTGTGCGTGTGCGAACTGCAATCCTCGCGACACTGTTTTTTGACTTACCTTCTTAGAAACATTACCATGCTATCCGTCCTGCCTGCCCTACCCTACCCTTCTGTTTTCCCCTGGAAGGAGCTCCCGCTTTGGGACGAGTGTAAGTTAGTATCCACAGACAGTTTACCTCTAGTCTGCCGTGATGCATTTTATACACCACTTGGGGATTCTCCTGCAGTATGCTGCCATACAGCCAACGAAAGTGAACTATGTTGGGCTTCACAATATTCAACACTTTTGTCTTATCCTCGCCAACCACCATCCGAAAGTCGCCTAGTTAAAACAAACAGAAAAACACATCTTCCCGTGAGAATCCATGCGCAGACTCTGCACTAGTCGGCCAGCAGGGTCCTCTCCCAAACATTTCTTTTTCCTCAAAGCCCTGTGCACATTATCAAGGAGGGAAGGGACTTGTTTGGGGGACAGGGAGGGCATATAGATGCCACATAGCTGAAGTTAAGATAGTCACTTAGCTACAAAAGGTTATCAGAAGCCAGGGCTTGCTGCTGGCTGGGAGTTTCTTGGTCCAACACTGAAACTTCCATACTGGTCAGCTTCCATTTGATGAACAAAACTCTGCGCGCAACCAACCGTGGGGCAGGAGCTGTGCACGGACACTAGTCCCTACTACTGTCCACGCAGTTTTGAGCTGCTTGCTCTGCATTCAGGGGGGCTTTGGGGGCCTTTATGAACAGGATTAACTTTTCTGTTGGATAATGGCGAGAGCAGTGAGTGTCGATAGTCCTAGCAAAAAAGAGGTTTACTTTCAAAGGTGATATTTGAAAGCAGATATTACTTTAAAAATTGCAAGTGTTGAGAAATAAAGAACGCTGCACATGCAGTGAAGTGCAAAACGTATCTATGTGTCACTTTATATTCTAGCTATATCCATTTATTTATTTGAAAGACAAAGCGCAACTTTGAAAACACGAGAGAAGGCCACTGACGGACTGGTACCAGCAAGCTATGCAGGGAGAAGAGTGATGAAATGGGTAAACACGAGTGAAAGCCTACAGAGTCGATGCAAACTCAACAGTGGCTGGACCGGTCTGGAAGACTCCACAGTTAGGCTTGGTGAAAGGAAAATGGCGGAAACACTTGCTGGAACATGGATGGGAACCAAGATATGGCTGCTCAGGCCAGTCGTGATGGAGCATGTAGTGAGGCAGTAGCTTGTAAGGGAGCCCGTGGGACTCAAACTCACTGCCACCGTGTCGAGGGACTCACAGTGACCCTGTAAGGTGAGAGGGTAAAACTGCCCCTGTGAGCTCCCGAGACTGTAACTCTTACGGGAGCAGAAGCCCTGTCTTTCTTCCTCGGAGTGCCTGGTGGTTCAAACTACTGACTTTGTGGTTAGCAGCCCAATGCGTAACCACTACGCCACCAGGACTCCTCCCTTGTGACTAGGTGACAAGGTAATTTATCATTCAAACTAGATCACTACACACACACACACACACACACACACACACACACACACACAGTTATTGCTGAGATTACACACAGCAAGACAAGACACCAGACCAACGCTTCTACACGCGCAGCTCAGTGGCATGGGCTGCACTCCTCCAGTTGAGCAAACATCTCACCCTCCTTTTCGGAGTTGCTCCTCACTGGTTAACATGCACTCACTGTCCTCTTAGGCTCCTCTCTAAACGTCCCATCGGTGCTGTCACTCTGATCCCATAAAAAACCCAACCCAACCCACTGCTCTATCATGACTCACGGTGGCCTAAGGGTTCCTGAACAAAGTGCGACTTTTACAGCAAGTGGAAGATGCCCCACCTGTGCTGCAGGGTCCCTGAGAGTGGACCCTTTCCCCTTGTCTTCTCCCTGAGGAGCAGCTGGTGAGTTTGGACCCCTGACCTTCAGCTTAGCAGCCCTACGCTGTTGGATGCCACCAGGGCTCCTTTTGATCCCAACAGATAGTTCTTACAAGAGCCTAAGGCTCAAGGCAGATATTTTTAATTAGTTAAGGTAAACCTTTGTTTGGGTTTAGGAATATTTCAAGGGACATTCTTTCTGGTTTAAGGTTTAATGGCTATCTTGGGGCAATAGTTTCAGGGGATCATCCAGGCTTGAGGCTCCAGAAAAGTTTGGGAGTCAATGAGTGTTTGAAATTCTGTTCTGCATTTCCCCCCTTCTGATCAGGATTCTTGCCCAGAGTTTATGATGAAAATGCTCAGAGGTAGTGGCTGGGCACCATTCAGTTCTGGTCTCCTGACAAAGGAGGTCGTTGTTCATGGAGGTCATTAGCCACCCATTCCATTGCGCTCTGCTCCTGGCTCTCTCTTCTGTTGCGACAAGTGACTAGCGACCTTGGAGGCCACTTGTAAGCTTTCAAAGAACTAGGAGGTAGGACAGAAACACTAAAAACAATATAACTGAAAGGTCCCATAAAACCATGATCCTACCACCCCCCCAAAAACCCCCCAAAATAACCAACAAAAAAGTCCCCAAAGTGCCCACAACAAGTCCCCTTAGGTACTTGGTTGTACATAACCTGCCTCAGCTGCTACTCTCTTGTTGTTGTTGTAGTACACATCGCTATCATCCAGCTGTTTACAAGTATACAACTTATTGACAGCTCTACCCTGTGTGGCTCCATCCTTAACCAATGTGGCATTTCCATCACAAACGAGGTCACTTTTGAGTGTGAACGGCACTATGAATAATAACACCAGGACAACAAGTACAAACTGGGAAAACCAGACCACATTGTCACCCTGGTCAGTTTTTTTCTATGGAGGAGGGAGGAATCATGGGAAAGAGATTTTCCTACAGCTAATTATTGGCTTGCTTTACAGCAGGGTGGGGGGTAGGGGGTGGGCATCAGACAGAAAAGGACACTCAGGTGCAGTAGGAAGTGAAATACACAGGGCATTTGAATGTCAAAGAACCAGCTTACATTTCAATCTGGGGGGACACCATTTAGGGACCTCGGCCTAAAGAAAAATGGATTTATTTATACATAGCCTCTAGGAATCTCAGCTTTGGGAAGATGAGGTCTGAATGTTAAGGGGAATGAGCAAAAGCGAGTCATGTCATGCCAAGCTGTTAAATATGGAGGAACTTGTGAGTGCTAGTGAGAGAGCAAAGAAATTGGCCCTTTCACATACTGTTAGTGATGCCAGCAACCTCTAAAACCCGTCACAGAATCCCAGCTTACAGCAAGTTTGAAGAGAGAAGCCAAAATAGGGCTTAAAAAGTTATGCTTACTTAAAAGGAGCGTTCACAAGTGCCAAGCCCTGCCCCAAGTGCCTGCCTACATTACTTCCCCTGATCCTCACAGCAGCGCCCCTCTCTCCTAGACAGCCCTTTAGCTCCTTTTAGCAGACTAGACAATGGAGGCACAGATGAAGCAGCTGCACAAGGTTCCCGGGTGGTCAATGGCCTGTGCTGGATTACTAACCTAATGGTTTGAGTTCACCCAGGAGCACCACCACAGAAGAAAGATCTGGCAATCTACTTCCATAAATATGACAGCCAAGAAATCCCAGGGAAACAGCTCTTCTTCAGGATAAGCGAGGTCGCCGTGAGCGAGAACTGCCCTGGTAACACACAGATTGGCTGGTTTGGGAAGGGCACGTACTACCCATCACTGCAAGTGACTCAGCGGTCCAACACCAGGTGGGATGGCTGCCTGACTGCAGGAGCCCGGGCCCCTGGCACACAGCAGTGCAGACCACTGAGACTCACTGTCGCTCAGCACAGGCAAGGCGGGACCTGATCATACAATAACATGCCGAAAGAAGCCAGGACACAAGAGAGTAACTTTCACAAAAAGAAACCAGAAAACAATGACAAAGAAACAACATAAAAATTGTTTGGTTTTCCTTCTTCTAGTAAAATACACAGCTACTGTGGGCTCCTTTCAATACTCCAAATTTGCAGTCTCATTTAATCCTAGCAAAGCCCTCGTAGTAGGTGCTCTTTGTTGGGTTTGCCTCATGGAGATCCCACGTGTAACACAATGAAATGCAGCCCAGTCCTGAATAAGCTCCATGATTTTTGGTAACTTTGAGTTCATTCTTTCAGCCACTCCATCAGTCTATCTCACTGAGAACTTCTCTTGTTTTTACTGACCTTGTATTTCATCAAATACAATGTCCCTTGTGGGAGCTGCCCTTCCCCGATGCTGTGTCCAAGCACCACCCTCGCTTCTATGGAGCGTTGGGGCAAGACTTCTTCTAAGACCAATGATTTAACAGATGAGGAGTTGAGGGGCAAAGATAATTTGCTCGTCATTCAACTGCCTCCCTGGATCAAGCCAGTGACATGTACGGTAGCTAGTGTTCTCTAGAGAGCCCTGGTCGTGCCATGGTCACAGGGTGGACTGCAAACGAACCAAAAGGTCAGCATTTCAAACCCACCAGCCACTCTGTGGGAGAAGACCTGGCAGTTGATGCCCATACAGATTCCAGCCGAGAAACCCCTCTGGGGACAGTTCTACTCTGTCCTGCAGGGTTGCTGTGAGTCAGAATGAACATGACAGCCAACGACGGCACTTTTACTCTATATTTCTGTCATGTTGGCACGTATGTCTAGCATTTAAAATAAGTACATGGGAGCACACGTGAGCACTTGGCAAACGAGAAAGGCATGACAGCTGGGCTAGCTTTCCACTGTGCGAGCTCTCAGGCGTTGGGCTGGGGCCTGCAGATTGAGGGTCTTCATCTCGGAAGGCTCTCCGCAAACTGCAGTGGGGATGAAACATCACCAAACCGTGAAAGTAAGAGGCGTGTTTGGATGACTGATGGGTTCTAAACAGCCATGCTAGTCCACGCCTTCCCTAGGTTCCACAAACAAAACACTCCTTAATATTAACCAATAACTTTGGAGAGGAGGACTGTTATTTCAGCAAAATGGAAAAAGCAAGTAACCCAAACCCTGCCCCCAAGAACCGACTGCGGTGGTCAAGGACCCGGCCTCTCTGAGAACGAGGTCTGGGTCTGGCTCGTCTCTGTAGCCCCACTTCCTGCTCCGGGAAGGCTCATCCACATCTGTCTGCGGAATCGGACTGCTGTGCAGCTGAAGCAGTGCCGCTGCAGGGAGCAGCAAGCAAACGGGCTCGCTACCAGCAGCTCCAGAACAAAATGAATAAATCTTGGACACAGCATGAACCAGTATCTGATCATAAGAATCAATTTTTCGTATCTCTGGAGAGATGTTTGTAATAAAACACAGGGTTTGGAGAAATATGACTGCTGAGTTCGATTTTATGCCTGTCCTGATGGTTTTAACTCTTGGCTGCCCAAGCCAGAGGACTGCCC